CAGCCAAAGCCAACGGCGAACGCAACCTACCCGGCCCGGCGCCTCCGCCTGGCAGGGGAAGGCGAGGCAAGGAAGGAGTGACAAGGGCAACGAGCCAATGGGAAGCCTGCAGGGCCGAGGGGGCGTCGCGCGGCCACGTTTTAGGGTTGGTTGCACGGTGGGCGCCCCCAGAAGTCTGGAGGGCTCTGCCGGGGCGTCCTGGCATTGCGGAGAGGGCTGCGGAGTAGGGGCGGGGACAGCGGGCCACCCCCGGACCTGGCTGACAGATGCTGCAGGGAACCTCCCAGGAAAGACTCTCGGGATTACCCCCCACCCACTCAGTTTTATTTGGTGGGGAGGGGCGCAGTAGGTATGCTTATCATCACTGCTTTTTTCACTCTAACTTTGCACATTATTTGCATACTAGAGTACTGGTGCACGGATTCGTGCACCGGTGGGGTCCCTTGGTCTGGCCTGCGGGATCAGGCTGAAACCGGCAGTCCAACATCCCCCGAGGGGTCCCAGATTGTGAGAGGGTGCAGGCCAGGCTGCAGGGTTCCACTGGTGTGTGAATCCCTGCACCAGGACTCTAGTATGCATATAAGATCTTTGGTTAATCTCTTCTCACCCTCCCCCCTTCCCTGCTTCCCTCTGAGATTCATCAGTCTGTTCCATGTTTCCGTGCCTGTGCTTTGAGTGTCTGCCCCCTAGTGGTCAGTGCACATCATAGCTACTGGTCAACAGTTGAATGGTCGGACAGTTGGACACTTCGCATATTAGCCTTTTATACATATAGACTAGAGGCCCAATGTATGAAATTCGTGCAAGGGTAGGCCTTCCTTCCCCCGGCTGCCGGCACCAGCTTCCCTCTGGTACCTAGGACCCGGGCCTCCCTCCGGCCGCCAGCAGGCACCCGGGACCAGGGTTTCCCTTGCAGCCCCAGCTTCATCCAGAAGGTCGTCCGGAAGAACGTCTGGTCTAATTAGCATATTACGCTTTTATTGTTATAGATATGTAGCTATCCCTTCAATGTGGAAGACCCTGGTCCCTAGGAAACTTGGTCTGAAACAGAAACTCATTGCTACATTCAGCGCTGCAAACGCAAAGGGAAGGGTGCTGCTTCTGTCCCATTGCCCCTTCCCCCACTTTAACTCTCATGAGTCTTAGCTTTATGCTCAGGAATGACAAAGTCTTTCATATTTGAACCCAATAATGAGTGTGAGCATGCCTTGTAAACTGTAAGGAGCTTTTTAAATAAGAAAGGATATTAATGGCAGGAGAGTGGAACGTATGGAAGAGAAGGAGAGGAATGCAATCTCTTTTTCCCATAAATCTCAGCCAAACTGCACCGAGTAATCTGAAGGCAGAAGAGAGCAAATATTGGGGTAACCAATATACAGAGCCTAGTAATAACAAAGCCATCCGCATGCCTACTGTGTGCTTACTTTTTGCCCATCCAGCAGCCTAGAACAGCAGTTCTCAAAGAATGGTTCTGGGACCAGCAGCATCAGCAGCACATGGAATCTTGATAGAATGCAAATTATTGGACACCAGCCAGGTCTACCGAATCAGACATCTGTTTTAACAAGCTCTCCAGGTATTTCTGATGCAAGCTCCCATTTGAGAACCCCTGGCCCAGACTGTTAGTGAAGGGGACACTGACTCTGTGAGTCATAGTGACGATCTCCACTGTTTCACAGTTTAACAATCCTTTTCACACCCATCATACTGTTCTAGCCTCATGTCAGTCCTACTAGCCTGTGAGTTTCTTGACTCTCTTCCATCTGCTTCCCATTCTAATCACTCACCTTAATGTACATCCTAGAAGAGCCTAAGGTGTTAAGAATTTACTTTCTAAACTAGGCAGCTCCATTTTTAGAAGATGGGAACTTAGGATGGTTTGGGAACTTAGGTTGGGAATGTAAAACCACCCCCCACATCCACTACACAGTATCAGACACAATGTAGAAGAAACACAAGCTGCAAGCCTATAGCATTTCCAATGGCGAGGGAAAGGAGGAATGCCATGAAGACCCAGGCAGATCTAGACAGAACCAGTGGGCAGATTCCCAGGGTGCAAGATGTCAGGCAGAGGAGTCTACTGCCCCCTGCCTGACTGGCCCCAGAGACGTGCAGGGGCCCCACAGACCCTGGGCCAGTCTTGGGGGGCAAGCAGTGACCAGCAAATGGTGAACCTACATGGACACATGTTCATGACCTGACTCTAAGCTGAAGAAAAGTGGAGAGATGGTGTGAAGCTTTAAGGAAGCAGAGACCATTATCATTTTGACTTATGCCTCATTTCTGTACTAGGGTAAAGTGATTCTAAGTTTGATTTTTTTTTTTTAATTTTATTTGTTGCCCTACCTCAGCCGTGGGCAAACTACAGCCCGCGGGCCGGATCCGGCCCATTTGAAATGAATAAAACTAAAAAAAAAAAAGACCATACCCTTTTATGTAATGATGTTTACTTTGAATTTATATTAGTTCACACAAACACTCCATCCATGCTTTTGTTCCGGCCCTCCGGTCCAGTTTAAGAACCCATTGTGGCCCTCAAGTCAAAAAGTTTGCCCACCCCTGCTCTCCCTCTCCTTTCCTCTCTGAAATCAATAAAAATAAAAAAATTATTTGTTGATGAGAGAGAGAGAGAGAGAGAGAGAGAGAGAGACATTGATGTTCCACTTATTTATGCATTCATTGGTTGATTCTTGTAAACGCCCTGACCAGGGATCAAACCTGCAACCGTGGCCTATCGGAACAACACTCTAACCAACTGAGCTACCCGGCCAGGGCCTTGGTTTTTATATTATCGTACACATAGCCAAATTTCCTATTTGTGGCCATATTTAACCAGGTGTGATGCAGATCAACAAAAAGTCTGTGGTGTGTTTCATGAAATCAACGAATGCTTTACATTCCATTTTGGAGAGGCAGGATAGCATGGTAGTTAAGACTTCAGACTCTGTGACCAGACTGCCTGGGGACAAATCCTGGCTCTGCTCTCCACTGAGTATGTGATTGGAGGCCAGTTCTCTAGCTTCTTTATACCAAGATTCCTCATTTGGAAGCGGGGGATACTGACTATATCTACCTTAGTGGATACTGGGTGATAGGGTGGGTGAAAGTAGGTTTACAGGAGTTCGGATGGAAACAGACATGCAGGTTATGATTATTACAATAGTTTTATTAACTCAGAAGAATGTATATTTCATATACACTCACAGCTGTAAACCTACTTTTGCCACCTCTGTCGTAAGGCACTTAGATATTGCTTGGCACAGAGTGAGGGCGATACCTATAATCAGAGATGTCATCTGGTTTCAAAAGTGTTGTACATTCCACTCCAACGGTTCTATCCTTGGTAGTTCATTTAAATGTGTCTCACCCACTTCTGACTTCCACTGAGTGTCATATTGTAGAACAAATATGCTACCGCCAAGGAAGTTTGAGTGGGAAGTCTGTGTAGAGAGCTGTGTGACCTGCAACAGCCAGTTGGAAGCTGGCAGCACATTTTCATTAGCCATAGTAAATTCTTGGGTACCTAAGACAAATAGAACCTGAAAGTATTTTGATTGAAATTCTATTTGAAGGATTGGATCATTCTATTTTTCTAGGCTTCTTTGGGAAAATATAGTCACATACTATGTTTCGATGTTCAAGATAAGACAAAAAAAATTGCGATTTACAAAGCAAGAAATTATAGTTGGTATGTAAGAGTAGCATTTCACCTTTCTGCTTTGGCATCACTAGTTCATTACAAATAAATAACATGGTGTAGTTCGTGGGAAGAACATTGGTCTTGGTGTTAGAAAACCCATGTATGAATTATGGTTCTGTTACTCCCTGTGTGTTCTTGGGCAACCAAATCACTCAAATTTTTTCACCCTTGTTTTTCTCATCTATAAACAGGGGCTGATCATATCTATCCTAGATGGTTATTGTAAGGATTAACTAGACAATGTATGTGAAGAGGCTTGATGTGCTCAGTAAACCTGAATGACACAAAAATAATCAACTTGTCCAAGCCCCTGTCTGCCACATGAGAAAGGCAGAATTGTCTCACCAAGATTAATGCTTTTTGTGAAAGGAAACCCCCGTTTGAAAGGGGGCTTTCCTGGTAGTATCAAATTTGTTAAACCAGTAAGTTGTATAAACAAGGATAAAGATAAGGGTTGTGGAATCCTGTTCCTTTGTCCACAGCCAGTTCATTTAGCCTGATAAACTGATAGTTTTAATTATAGAGGATAAGTTGCTGAGATCAACAAGTAAGCATAGAGTAGGGTGTGTGTGTGTGTGTGTGTGTGTGTGTGTGTAAAATCA